GTTTGCATTTGCATTCAGTGCAACACACACAGACACACACACACACACACACACACACACACACACACACACACACCACACACACAACACACACACTCTCATTTTGAAACATAAAATCAATTTAAGTTTTTCCCAAATGTTTGTTGCATGTCAATTTGTATTGATTAGTAATTGTTTTTGGGCCACAACATGCTTCTTAATGCAATTCTTTGAAATAACGTTTAAGAAGTGAGATGTTTAGGGTTCTAGTAAACTAACTACCTTGTAAGAATCATCCTCAAACCAGGCCTCTGTTTTGAGGATGATTCTGTAGTACTAAACTGGCTGTGCTAATGGTTGTCGACACAGTAGGGGGTGTCTGTGAAGCAGTTGTAACAGACTGAAACACTAATTAAAAATAACGAGTTGTCCGGTCTGTTCATGTAGTGGAGTAAAGCAAATACTATCGATATCACAAGCTGTACCACAGTTCAACAGTACTTAGAAAGTATGTGTTTTGCAAACAAAAGCATCATATTCTTATTCCATTAAGGCTGCGGAAGATATGCAGGACTGATTCTTTGATTTTAGCTGCAAAAACCCTTTGAAACAGCGTCTTTTTGGCTGAAAATAACAGGACTTGAAGAAGAATGAAGAAATATCAGTGGTGTGGTGGTAGAAAGAAACAGCCTTACAGACCTCTGTTTCAGTTTTGATAGAGAATTGTAACTTTAACTGAAAAACCCCAACAGGCTGAACAATCAATTTATCAGTCAAACTTCAATAGAGCAAATTTTATCTCAGACAAATTTACAAAAGAACATATTTACACCTTACACTTAGTTATATTATTTACAAAGACAACATTAATGCCCTTGATGTGCATTATTATTTTGTCAAGGGCAAGGCTATGTTCATTATTTTACATATCTAAAATATATTTTTTATTTGATTTCAAAGTAGCCAGTTACATTCTACTGTAGATGGTAAACATCTAGGCCTTCTTAAACATTGCCTCTTGAGCTTTAAAGTTTAAAGTCCGTTTTTAGTCACTTCTCTAAAAACGGGACCTAAATGGGACTAATGTATCACTGCAGCAGCCTGTGGAGTGAATACGATTTTCACCCTGTGTCTGTCGCAGTCTGTTGACATTCTCTTTCAAATAACGTGTGTTCACCTAGGTGCCTTTAGTGCTTCCGCTACACCAAGAAGCAATGTGAAATCACACACCCTGGGACGTTCTGCCTCTTTTGGAATCAGTGTTAAGTACAAAGGCAAAGTGATGGCGGAGCTTCATCAGAGCTTGGGAAAGATGGAATGAAAATAATTTATAAACAGAAATACTTTGTCCATATTGAATTGATTGGATATAGTCATAGGTTCATGTTAGATCAGATGTCTGAAGCAATAGTCTGTTATATATAACAGTATGCAAAATGCTAAATTGACCAATCAACAAAAACATCTAACAGCCTAGTTTGAAACGCATATTAGCATTTTCATTGTTATTGTTAGCATACTGATTCACGCAGAATGGCTAACATTGCTGTAACGTCTGTAATAAAATACAAAGAGTTGTCACTTACTTTTCCAAACAAGAGCCTTACTCTGTGATATTGATGGGGTAACATAGCATTATTAATTATTCATTTATAAGTAATGAGCATTTGTGTCATGTTTTGTTTGTTTTCCTCCCACCAGGCATGAGCTGTATCGAGCTTCTGGAAAGTTTGAGCTCCTGGACCGCATCCTGCCAAAACTTCATGCTACAAATCACAGAGTTCTACTTTTCTGCCAAATGACCACTCTTATGACAATCATGGAGGACTACTTCAGCTACCGCAACTTCCAGTACTTGCGTCTTGATGGTAAGCTCACACCTCTAACTATGTTTAAATTTTTATTATCTACAAATCTTAAAGATAATTCATTTGACAACTTAAAACAACAATATGCAACTTTTCCACTTTAAAAGTAGTAGGTTTTAAAATTAGATTTATTGAATAACACCTTTCAATAGAGAGAACGGCGACTCTACCATGTCCAAATTGGGGCGGGGGGTCTCAGGAGGCAAGACATGATGGTAATAGGAACGACACAGAAATGGCTGACAAAGCAACTGAGTCCAACGCTATACAATGCAATTTTTTTAACTGAAAGTATATCAGTGCTACTAAAGTTTGACATACTCACAGTATCAATAAGATAGTGGAAAAAACATTGTGGAAAACATATTGAATCAGTTTCATTACGTGCATGGAGATCAGACCAGTCGTTTGCTTATAGACTGTGGTAGTGCGCTGAGCTCAGGTTATAAAAGCCATAACCCACTTCCACTCAGTCATGGTGAATTTTCCTCAATATTTCCTGCTGCGTCCTGATATCCCTTTACCCCAACTTCACGCGGAAAATCTCTTAGGGGACTTGCAGGAAAAAATTCCAGGTAAAGTCGGAGTGAAGAATTCAGCTGTTTGCAATCACACATTCAGCTCACTCTGGTTTGTAAGTGTGAAAGCAGCATTTGTTTTCTCCTACTCAGCATATTTGAGTTGCAGAATGTTTCTCCATAATGACAGCAGGGCTCCACAGTGTGAGCATTTTACTGCCTATGCAAGGAGAAACGTGTGTGTGAATATGACTTATTATTTTGGTGTGACTGATTCTGCTCTGACACCAGGGTTCACTTTACACTGAAGTTATCTGAGGAGAAGTTAACAATTCATTATTGGGCTCCTATTGAAACCTTATGAAATATGCAACATGATATTGAGTCTCTTTTCTTTCATTCCTTGACCCCTGCTGTGTATAAGTGACTAAAGAGTAGCTGAAGACAATTCTAAAGTTTGCCTCCAGACACATTACAAAGATGAATACAAACACAAAACAACTTTCAGTCTAATTGGTCAGGAAAGGGGGGCGGGACATGTGAACTTTCCTGACAACACTACACTTTGGACCAATAAATCAAGATAAAGTTCACGCAGTCTTTATCAAAGTTACCTTCACAAACTCAGAGCGACTCCTTTTGTTGTTTCAGGAACAACAAAGGCTGACGACCGAGCAGCTTTGCTGAAGAAATTTAACGAGGAAGGGTCTCAGTACTTCGTCTTCCTGCTCAGTACCAGAGCCGGTGGACTCGGTCTCAACCTGCAGGCTGCCGACACTGTTGTCATTTTTGACAGTGACTGGAACCCACACCAGGTACATCAGTCTGTTTATTTGTATTGTTGTAAACTATAAAGATGATACTTCTATGCATGGTGTAAATGCATGACTGGTGGTCATATTGAGAGTTTTTGGTAAATGCCACTGATGAATTCAAATAAACAGTTGTATAGTTTTTTTTTCTTCTATTACCTAAAAGGAGTGAAGGTACCTCTGAAGAAGATCTCTTCTCTTCAGCCCTTTTCCCAAGCCTGACAACAGAACAACTCTACCAAAGTCCTATTACTTTCCAGATTTGTGCAACATCTGTCACACCAGCCCAGCGCCATGAATTCATTAGAAGCACTAAATGCAAATGAGATAAACTGTTGCTGGACTCATTTCTTTTATAGTACACATAAAACAGATTGAGCGAGAAATCATTAAATGAGATGCGATGTCGCCCGCTCTGGCCCCGGGTATACACCTATCTAGGCCCACTGACTTCGCTAGCGTCACAGTTCTGATTATGGAGTCTCCAATAATGAGAGTTTTATTCTCAGTGGGTGTGTGGGGAAAATTTGTTTGAGACGTGAAGTGGTTGGTGAGGAACCGTATGCTTCGATTTTCGACCATGCTTCCCTCGGACAGTAACCCAGCAACCGTTGGTGTGCACAGTGTTTATAACACAGCACTGTTTAACAGAGTCCGTGTGGAGAAGTTTACAAACTACATCAGGCTGTGGGATGACAATGATGATGAGAAGTAAACAGCTGCATGTGGTGGCTGGCATTCCAGTGTGCGTTTGCGTATGTTGGTGTGTCTCAGCGTGCTCCCGCGATGCTGGGTCATGCAGTCAGCAGAGGAGCAGGGAAAAGTAGCTGCAGTTGTTCAAATGCACTTAATACTCTTTTTATACATGAATGTTGGATATGAACATTTACCCGCCATGTGGCGAATAGCCCTGTGTAATTTACTCTCCAAACAGAAAATCAACCCGCATTTGGCGCTTGGCGGGTGATAAATTTGGACCCTGTTTGCATGTACACAGCTAAATTTAAAATGGAACTGATGCAACATTTTTGGGCCCGGAAAGACACAATGATAATCCTTATAAAAACATACTAAGCTTAGTTTGACATTAAATCCAGGTAGATACTAAAAACGTCTTCTATCTATTTAAGTAGCAGGTTAACACAGCTCACTGACACAGTGAGGGATAGTTGACCATCATATCTGAGTATCAATGCTTAACTTTGTGCAGAGTTAAGTACTGTTGTTGCCTCTAGTCAGCTTTTATTGATTACAGGTCAGCCAACTGAACATGTTAGCGACATAGCCCCATCTGACTTTTTAGTATAATGAATCACTCATTCTAAATCCTTTTGTTTGAGATAGTCTGCCCTGTGGTTGGTCTAGTCACAATTGTGCAAAGCAAAGAAAACCTGAGCATCAGTGCCCATAGTAACTTTTAATAGATAGATACTTTCTCTATTTGTATTCTAAATGCTTGACTAGACACAATCACAGTGGTAGAAAAGTTGTTGTGGGATTTAGGATTGGGAACACAATACAGTTGGTATTTCTTGTCACGCAGGTGCTGAACCCACCTGCATGTTTCCAATAAGATGCATGTTGATTCAATCAGCCTTTAGTCGACTGCACTTTGACACTAGCTCGGTGGGTCAGAGCCAAAAACTGTGTGTGTGTGTGTGTGTGTGTGTGTGTGTGTGTGTGTGTGTGTGTGTTGTGTGTGTGTGTGTGTGTGTGTGTGTGTGTGTGTGTGTGTGTGTGTGTGTGTGTGTGTGTGTGTGTGTGTGTGTGTGTGTGTGTGTGTGTTTGCACTGAACGCAAATGCAAACATACACAGGAACAATATTTTTGATTTGTACCTACTGACGGGAAAAAATGTGTTTTTTTCAGATTTAGATTCTATGTTACTATGCTCTTTTTTTTTTCTAAAAATTATAAACGTTTATATGACATTTTAAAGATGAAACACCAAAAACAAAAGACCTCATCATGGGGGTAAATCATTTAAATATCCCTGATATATTGTGTCAAATGTCCATTTTGGTCCAAAGAAAATAATCAGGAGGTAACTTCCTGTCAACTGTAATGAAAACATTTAAGTCTTTGTAATGACTTTATAATGAGCAATGAACAGTATCACAACCTTAAGCTAGTATGTGTTACAACCAGTGGCAAGGTTTTGCAACATGAAAAAGTCTATGATTCATGCCTCTACCCTTGATAAGTGTATAATTATATTCTATTTACTGTTGATGCAGCTGAAATGATCTCGTTTATCTTTTGGCTGACTCCAGGACCTTCAGGCTCAGGACCGGGCTCACCGCATCGGTCAGCAGAACGAGGTGCGTGTCCTGCGTCTCTGCACCGTTAACAGCGTGGAGGAGAAAATCTTGGCAGCCGCCAAATACAAACTAAACGTGGATCAGAAGGTCATCCAGGCAGGCATGTTTGACCAGAAGTCCTCCAGCCACGAGCGACGTGCCTTCCTGCAGGCCATTTTAGAGCACGAGGAGCAGAATGAGGTAATTTTATTAATATTTATCTAGGAGTTAAGGGCACCTGAGGATTGAGATCTGGTATTTGTGTTTAATCAGACATTTGCATATAATGAAAGTAGATATGATCAGTGAGCACTTGTAATATCAAATATATTTGTAAGGCAAAGTCAGATATTTTACTCGTATTTGATCAAATCTGTTTGCAGACTGATTTGTTTTGAATGCAACATTACTGGTTCTTTTTTTTCCTTTAAAAGCTCTGACTTGGATGTTTTAAGAAGTCTTTTGATGTTTTCCTTTTTCCAAATTGCTGTAGGAAGAAGATGAAGTCCCCGATGATGAGACCCTTAACCAGATGATAGCCCGCAACGAAGATGAGTTTGAGCTCTTCATGGTAAGAAAAACACTTGTTTTTAGTAGATCTAATGGACTTCTAAATCACTGGTTAAAAGTCTTCAAATATTTGTTTACCAAAGAGAAAATGTGTAACAGTTGGTAGTCCTACTTCTTCATTATTCTTGTCAACTTCTATCAGTGCTTTAGAAACTGTCATACTTAGCAACAACTGTACCCAACCAGGGGCATCTTTCTATAGTTAATGATTAAATCGCCATGGATATAAGACTCAGATACACCACACAATTCACAGCTCAGCACTTGATAGTTTTACACTACGGTACTCTGTGAGACCATCTGTGCTTGAAATGTGTGACCATCTTTTTTGATGCATCCAGCTCACATTGGCTGCTTCCATGCTGAATAACTGCAAGATTTTAAATAATCATTGCCTAAGGTAGCCAATGACTTGTTGGTGTCATGTTAAGCCTTTTTAAAGCTTTACTTTTTCAATACTTGAACTTAGACTTGATCTATTCAGTCTTAAACTGTACGTTTAAACTCAGATATATTGGTGCTTCACAGACACACAGGATGTACTCCTTCAGTCCTTGTCATCATTCTGTGCATTTGTGAAATATCTCCCGTCATGATCCCTTCTGTTCTTTTAGATATTTTTTTGCAACAACATAGTCAAAGTACAAATACAATGAGTGAATTAGGGAAAAAGCATGTGGATAATACACTGTAGTTAAAAAGCAGCTATATCCCTGGGAATGGAGGGACATTTAATTGTGTGGCAACAGTCCTCTTAGTAGTAATGAGATACGATGACAGTCACCAGGCTTGTGTGTCCACTCAAACGAGTACATGCTAAAGACATGGAGGTACTGTTTCACAAAGTGAATTAAGAATGCAAACACAATAAGGCCTGATCATGTAGGATACATCTACCTCATGGTTTGAGTACTGATTTCAACATATGTTGTAAGTCATATAACTTCAGGTTTTTACAAAGGGAATGCTATTCACCCTTTGTGTCCAGTATGAGTCCATCTTAAGGGTCCTTTAGAAACCAATAGTCTTACAACAATCTACTGATCTGATGTTCCTTACGTTCTCCATTGTAGCGTATGGATATGGACCGCCGCCGGGAGCATGCGAGGAACCCAAAGCGAAAGCCTCGTCTCATGGAGGAGGACGAGTTGCCCTCTTGGATCATTAAAGATGATGCCGAGGTTGAGCGGCTCACATACGAAGAGGAGGAGGAGAAGATGTTTGGGCGAGGATCACGTTGCCGCCGGGATGTGGACTACAGTGACGCACTGACTGAAAAACAGTGGCTACGGGTAAAGTATAGATCTGTTGTTTACAAGAAATTCTATTCTGCTTTTTATATCCTAAACAGTAATCTACACAGCACACTTTCCTGCCCTGCCACTGTAGATTTGAAATGAACCACTCCAATCTCAATCCATTACATCGAACCAACCTCGGAGAAATGTAAGCGCACGTATAAGTAGTGCAGCGTGTCTGCTGTGATTGAAAATCTTCTTTTCTTTTCCACTTGTTAACTCCGCTCTTCTGCAGGTAATTACAGCAATCTTGTATCATTTACCATCTGATTTGATCCGCACAAACTCCTTCAGTGTAATTAAAGATATAAAGTTTTTCCTGCTTAACAACTACTGGAACGCGAAACTTCTTTGTCATTCAGTCTTCTCTATATAGCCATTATATAATCTCACATTGTTTATATTCAAGAGACTGCCAATAACCTGCAGTTTAATTCATTTTTCATTTTGTATCTTTATTCTCAGACTTTCAAATTGAAAAAGAAGTTTGTTGGCCCTCCAAAGTAACAACCAAGAAACTTGTTCATTCTTTAATGTCAGTCAGTATTAATCGTTTCCTGACTACTCTCATATCCAGAGATTTAGTTTTGGTCAAAAGGCTCAGTAATCTTTATCAGAGCCACAGTAGTATATATCAAACACTGACCAACTGGAATAATCAGTCGACCTGTCGGTTCACAACCATGACTGGATTTGAAGTTGATCTCAGACTATAGCTAACAGCAGCTGAGTCACCCACAACAAACAAGCTGTGACACACAGTACATGTCGCTGTGGAAGATCCGTTTTATTGACTCGGGCTGAGGTGTTGCGGGGAAACAAAAATAGAACAAAGCTTTGAGACCAAGGTGACACATGTTTGGAGGTGTTAGCTGTAGTTGAGGGAGACTCTTATTAAAAGTAGATAATTATGTAGAGACCTGTTTGCAAAGTTTAAGAAATTAAAAGTATTCAACAGAGAATATCTGAGGAAGCTTGACAGCCAAAGAAAAACACCACATCAGGTACAGGACTTGCTGCTGGTGTTTAATTCGCCTCGTTATTTTGCCTTGAAATTGTAAATGTGATTACACAGATGGTTACTAAAATCAATTACATTTGTTAAGAAATCCACTTAATGTGCGATTAACTGTCTGTTTTTTGTCCCCAGGCCGTTGAGGATGGAAACCTGGAGGAGATGGAGGAGGAGATCCGTCTGAAAAAGCGCAGACGCAAGAGGCGTCAGGACAAGGACTCATCGAGCAGAGAGGATGGGAGCTCCAAGGCCAAGAAGAAACGAGGACGTCCACCAGCTGAGAAACTCTCCCCCAACCCCCCCAAACTCACCAAGCAAATGAACACCATCATCGATACAGTCATCAACTACAGAGATGGGTAAGGACATCATTTACACCTCGAGCTAAAACAACCTGTAAGAGTTTCATCCAGATGCGAGTGAATCAGATCTGGTCAAAAGGCCCCACGCTTTACCCAATTTTTACATTCATATAAAAGAAGTCATTGAGTATTATTAGTCAAATACTCACTCCTGCTGTGCTTAATTTGCAACATGACAAAAGTATTGTGTAAACTTTACAGTCTGTTATTTCTCTACAAAGCCAGATGAAAACCACTGGCAGGCTCATGTTATCTTATCTTGTCTTATCTTATCTTGTGTTCTGAGAGTGAAAAACGTCCCCATTCACAGACTACCTTCAGTTGTTAATTCGTCAAAAACCTAAAAACCTCTGTTGAGAAAAATGATCGCTCTAGCTCTTGTAGAATGTACGCTCGATCATTTAAACAGGATTTTTGGGAAAGCGATCACCTGTGTGTCCGCCTGCAGGAGATCTGTTTTTAGTTATGAGGCAAAGTGGGCTCACCTGGCTCTTTGCAATATTTAAAAAGTATGTCCCCTGTGGCCCAAATGCACCTTAAATAGCATGAGCCGATTCCAGACACTTACCAGTAAGTAAAGGTGGAACACTTTGTACCAGGAGCTAAATATACTCTAAAGGGCCTTTCCGATAGGACGCGGTGGGCATTGCATGCCCTGTCAAGCCCATTCATTGTGTATTGTGTTGCTCAACTCAAGAGCGTATCTCCTCGCCGCCGAGTTGAGCGCAGCGCAGGGTCGCGCTTGCTGTTCTTACGCGCTGCGCAGAAGTTAAAACATTTGCTAGTTTAGCGTTGTGCTCCCTGATGTCACCTCCGTGCGTCCAATAGGAGGGTAGCTCAGATCACAACAAATGTTGTCTCACTTTCCTGAGCTCTAGTTTAAATACCTACTGGGAAATCGGCAAGAAAGATATTTCCAACAGTTCGGGCGTACCAGGTGTGTTACTTGTATTGTGTGTCATGCCCGTGAAGCAGTCATTTTAGCGCTGCAGCTCCTGGACGAGCCTAAACCTGACATGCTCTGATGAGTTCATCCAGGGATTAAAGTTGTCCGTCGCTACGATGCTGCAAAAATCTTTTTCTTTTTTGAATGTTAGAATAGCTAGATTTTTCCTTTGGGGGAGAATCCCCCCAGACCCCCCTAACTTCATTGACTTTTTCATACTTTAACTTATTCCAATTTTTTTATAGAACACCTGCGCCTGTTACTTTATATAGGCATAAAATTCACTTGACTGTAGGTCAAATTTGTTAAAATGAAGCAAGCTCATATCTGTCAGCCTAGATCATTAGCTTCAAAAAAGAAAAACATGTTAATTTTATTCCTAAAGTAGAAAACACCTCTGTTGTTTTATACCTTGACAATTTTCAGTCAAATTTTTTTTGTTGTTGCTTTAATCCCTGTGTCATGAACACAAACCCTCTTTTTCTTTGCTGCTCGACTCCCCCTCCGCAGCAGAAGAAAAGTTGGGCTTTCTTCCTCAATAGTGGACACAGAGGTCTACATAGTGCTGTGGCAGAAGCTACTTTCCCAAGCTATTTTCCCAAGGATTTTCTCGGTCTCCTAGCAACGCGCACTGTTGTTTTTAGCTTGTGTGCGCTCTCCTCTTTTGCTTTGCGCTCTACTCTGCGGCGACTTCAGCCCGCACTGCGTCCTATCTGAAAGGCCCTTAACTATTTTGTGTATGAAGGCATAAATGATTTTCATGAGGGCCTCTACTGGTCTGGTTTGGTGCCTTTTTTTTAAAGATGTACTTTGAGTACAATAGTACAGCACAGGTTTTGCTTTGATTATCCAATCGAAAGCACAGATTTGTCCCTGGACAGACATGAGGGCATGTCTTTGGAAAGAAACAGTGTGAAAACATCCTTGTCTTCTTAAAGTCTAAAAGTCCTTAGAGTTTATTTTTGTGCGTGTGGTTTATTCCGTTGCGTCTGCTTTTTCTTTCTTTTACCCATGTGCAAAGTTCTTAGTGTGTGTGAGTGTCAGTCTCTGTAAAATGCACTCGTGCATGAAAGAACATGTGCTTTTGTGTTCCCACTACCAAACTATGCACTGGCTCACTAGTTTGTAGGAGCTTTTCCAGGAAACTGCAACCTGCCTTTCCAAAGTCAAATTCTTTCCTCTCCCAGTTGCAAGTTGTTCATCCCAGAGCATCTCAATCAAACCTTGACACTCCTTTCTCTAAACTAGACTGGGATATCATCCTTTTTTCTATCCCAACACTTCATGATTCCTAACTCTGCAGTAAGACAAACTAGCTCTCAAAACTGCATAGAGAAACATATGAAACCAGCATCAGTTTCCTCAAAAAAAAAACAACAACAACATATTAAGGCCTAAGTGTGTAGAGATTTCTAGTAAACAGAGTGAACAACTGAGACTCCTTTGATGATCGAGCACAGATGTTGATGCTGTTTTAAACCATCAGTTATTTTACCTTCTTACCACCGCAACCCTGCTCAGTTACAGACTTTATGATCATATTTCTTTTAATTCCAGTGGTTTTCAAGCAAGTCAACAGTTTAGTCTGTTTCCAGACGTCGCAACAACCGTAACGCTGGGCTGAAAGGCAACACACTTTATACATCAAATATGCGAAAGCCCATTTTAAACATACCAGCAACCTCTGTGGTTTCAGCACAGTCTGCATGGTGAATTTTTAGCCCACAGCACGTGCACAGCCCAGAGGCACCACTGTGGATTCTTGATTGTACAATGTTTGAGTTTTTCTACACTAAAATCAGTCTAGACTTCTTAGCTGCTGCTGTTATAACCATTAAGTGGTGACCTATAAATCCTATTGTCGAGTTGTAGTTCTTTAAGAGAAATCCTGAGGATTTTTAAACAGGTCAAATCTGATGTTTAAGAAATTAATCTATTGAAGGGATATGCTAGTTAAGTCAACTAAACAGTTAAATTCCATCACCCTCGCTAGTCGGCACCAGTACTAGCAGTTTGTTCCTAGAAATGCTCTTATTTTTATCAGGGCTGTCACCTTTAATGCATTAATCCTGATGCCATTACATTGTTGAAATTCAACATTTTTTGAAAGTTTCAGCACTCTTATAGAAGCATAGCATGCTAGTATGAGAATTTTGGTTAACACTTCATAATAACAACACACTATAGCATAAGTAGAGCATCATTAGTTAATAATGTATTCACAATCTATAAATCATCTTTCCTAAAATTAATACATGTTTATGTGTAATACATCATGACAGTTATAAATGTTTCATTTTAATTAAAAAGCTTATTTTTGTGAGGAATGAGGCTTAATCTACACTTGATAAATGGTGAGTTAAGCATTTATAAATCAACCATTACATCAATTACAAACCTGTTATTTTAGTTCTTGATAAGATTATTTGTTACGGTACGTCAAAGTAATTCATTATCAAAATATTTTGATGTACATTCATGCACGTGTCCATCATGTATTCATATCAAAACTACAAAACTAAGTTATTTACTTTCTTTGCACAGTCTGACTCGTTGCTTCTTCGGTTCCTCTCTTACTTTTTAAGGGCAAGTAGCAAGAAGAAGCAAACAATTTCTAAAATGTAGAAATAGAAAACAATCAGCCCTGGAAAAGAAGCTCTTTGAAAACACAGCAGCGGGACCTCAGTGACTGATAAAGTCATTCTAATCGAGGAATAGTTTGAATAAAAAGTTTTATTTTGACGAGGAAGCAATGCGGATGAGCAGCAATTAGTATTACTGACATAGTGTCAAACTGTTAACAAGGCCGATTTTAAATCTGGATTTCATCTTTCTTCTTCCTCGTCTCAGCACATTTTAAACTCTGGGAAACGTAGTTTAGTAGAAGGTTGCATTTGAAGTCAATCCTGTCTATAATTATCTCAATCTTGATCCCCGTTGGAGGAAGGAGGCATCAAGGATAGTGTGATTCTTTTTCTCTTCCTTGTTACAGCAGGCTCATTTGTAAAACTGTGTTCTTCTGCGTACTGTCTCTGAAGAACCTTGGACTGGATTTAGCATTGTACATGTTTGGTTTATGAATCCAATAATGAGTCATACATATCGTATCATTGCAAACCAACCCTCTAACAGCTCTGCAGTTATTTGTTTTATTCAGTATCCTGCTTATAATTACCTCTACAATGATTCTTTCTATTTTCACTCTTGTTACCACATTGCCATTCTTTCCCAATTGCTCGTTGTTTACCTCACTGACACAGCCAGACTGGCCTCAAGCATAAACAATTCATTATTGATCGTGCTGCATTTTTCATGTTAATACAAAACAGATATTATATCATAACAACTGACAAATTACAATCAGTACATCTAAGAAAAGCTTTGGGACTGAAAATACAAAAAAAAAAAAACAGCACTCACCAATTGTGAATCACTATTGTTTTATTGATTCATTATTGTTGGTTTTATTTACATTTTTGTATGACTTTAATCGGTCCAAATTAAGAGAAGAGAAGCAGATAAACAAAATTATCTTAATTGATTAGAAGTCACACTGATTTCTTATTTGACTGAAGACATTTAAAGATTTTAACTTCTTTTTATTTCAGTTAAACACATAATATTGCACAGTACAGTCATATGTTCTTCAGTGTTAGCCAAGGAAAATGTCTTTTAGGGCATCCCGTAATTAAGTGTCCATACAATGTCCGTTTACAGCTCCCACTTACAGGAATGGGTATTGTTCATTATCCAGCACTTGTCTGTGAGTGTGCATGTGTGTATATTTAAGTCGGTGTGTGGGGGTCCATATATGTATGTGCTTGTGGATGCTACAATGTATTTACCTTTTTTTTCTCTCCTTGCTACCTTGTCTGTGCTGGATATGAACAATACCCATTCCTGTAAGTGGGAGCTGTAAACGGACATTGTATGCAAGGTAGCAAGGAGAGAAAAAAAAGGTAAATACATTGTAGCATCCACAAGCACATACATATATGGACCCCCACACACCGACTTAAATATACACACATGCACACTCACAGACAAGTGT